AAGGGGCAGGGGCTTCCCGGCACAGGGAGGACAAGACCGGGGGACGCTGCAGGAAGTGGCGGGACAGGCACCCGGACGAGTCGGCGGCAGGGGTCGGGCAGCAGGGCCGGTCCTGCGCTGCTGGGGCCCCACCTGATCATGCGCTGCTCGCCGGGGTCATACAGCGCCATGAAGAGCTGTGCCTCCTCGCCGATGTTGCAGACGAAGTTGCGCACGCAGAGGTAGAGGCTGTGGGAGGGCGAAGCTGCCAGGTGGGCGCTGCAGCCCAGCGCGCTCTGCTGCAGGCTCTGCGGGGCACGAGGCTGCTCAGCCCCACTGCTCTGCCCCACGGCATGGTCCCTGGCATGGCACAGCCATGCGTGGGGCAGCAGGCTCTCGGCACGGTGGGGTCGGCATGCTGGGGCCAGCACTGGCTCTCACCGTCTCCTCCTGGATGCGCTGTGTGATAGTCTGCGCAGCCTTCTTGTGCGCCTGGAAGAGGCTGATGATGCTGGTTTTGTCAGGGTCCAGGATGTTTTCGTCCTCGTCCCGCACCACCAGGTCCAGCGCGAGGATCCTGCAGAGGCCGGGACAGGGTGAGGCAGGACCCAGTGCCCGGCTGGGCTGGCAGGACACGGGTCTGTGCATCCCACTGGGACCCGCCTGCCCTTGCACAGGCGTGGGCTGGCATGGGGTCTGGGGGTGCAGGCACGGTGTGGGGGCAGGACAGATCCTGGCCAGCAGCAAAGCCCTGGCAAGGGGACAAGAGCCAGGCAGCACCTGCCCCACTGATGCTCTCCTGCCCCAGCCAGGGCTCACTGGTGGTAGCCCTTGGCTAGGGGGCTTGCACCCCCTCAGCTGCACCTGCTGTCCCCAGCCACCCTGGGACAGCCAGCCAGGCCGTCAGGGACACTGCAACAGAGGGGCCGAGCGTCCCTCAGCACCGCACAGCCTGTGCCTGGGGTGGGGGCAGAGGCCCCGGCCCCGCCACGCTCCCGTCCCTGCTCTCACCTGTTGCCGTAGTCGATCTTGCCGGTCACCTCCTTCTTGAGCTGCAGGAGCTCGTCCTTGGGCAGCGTCCCCGAGAGCAGCTGCGAGCGCTGCTCCATCAGCTCGTACATCATCTGCTTCACCTGCTGGTACCGCTCCATCTGCCCTGCCTGTGGGCATCAGCACAGGGTCACCACGTGCCCTTGCCGGCCCCGGCCCCCCCCCGCCCCCCGGCCCTCCCCACACAGCG